CAGTCAACGACTGACTGAGAGTTAATTGTTAAATTAGTATCGATGACATGAGCTTAAACGATATGTGGGCAACAGGGAGGAAACCAGCTGGCCTCGTCTCCTAGGTTTATTTTGGAAATAAAGTTGTGTGGCATGCATGAAAACTGTGGCTTTCTGGAATGTTTTTGCCAAAAGACTGGCTTTTGTATTATTATTATTTTTTTTTAACAGAAATTTCAGAGAGCAGGAGATTCTGAGTAATACGTCAATCACAGGGAGAGATCTGTCATTTTCTGGCAATTTTTTTTTAACCTTACCTACACTCACTCCTTTATGAATTATGAAGTATTATTTTCTCCTGAAGCTATTGAGAATGGCAGGGAGGATCGGAGTTAGTCCACATACTCAGTCTTCCTCTGAGTGTCTGTAGGGTTGTCTGTTTCTGCCCTTTTATTCCCGTCTCTCTGTCTCTGCCTTTTTCACTCTCAGCTTAGTTCCTTGGTATCATCCATTAGTAGCATTTGTCACAGGATTTTCATGAGGACGGTTTTCTGGGCTGTGGCTTGTGACAGGATAGGGCAGTCTAGGGGTGCTTAGAGGGGGCGATGGAGGCCAGAGGCCAGGTGATGGCAGAGGCCAGTGTGAGATTCAGCATCAAGGCAGGGTAGAAAGATGCAGAGAGCTGTGGGGAGGGTGTTGTCCCGAGACAGAGGAGGCCTGGGCAGGCATGCCAGCATTAGCATAAGGAGCAGTCGGCCTGGCCAGATGAAGCTGGGAGGCAGCCGGAAGGAGCTGGCATGAAGTTAAGTAGGGCAGCAGGAGGCAGGGTGCTGGACTCAGCTCTGATGGCTGAAACTAGGGACCCAGGCAGGTACAAGAGGACCAGGCTGGCATCAGGGGCAAGTGCTGGGTATCATCCTGCCCCAGAATCAAAGGGTACCAGGAGTTCAGGCCAGAGCCTAGGAGGAGAACCTAATAAGAACCACACCATCAGACATCTTTGGGGCATTTTTTTTTAATATCTCTACTTAATCTGTGCAAGAATTTTGGTATAATGATTCTGTAAATGAGGAAGTGGAGATACAGAAGGGCAAAGTTGTTTGCTGAGGTTCACACAGCTGAGAAGTGGTCCTGCTCTTCATCACCCTGCCCCAGAGTATTCCTGCTACACACCGAGAGTACCATTTCCATAGAACAAAGTGCGCACGGGTCCCCGGAGCTGGGCATCATAGGCAGCCCTGGCTCCGTATTACTTTCTTTAACAAATAGAACAGTTCTTCCCTGCTACTTCCTCTGTCTTTCATCTGTTAGCTCATTAATTTTGGAATTATGATTCTTGCCATGTTACATGTGAAGCCCAGAGGGGCACAAAGACATGCCTAACCAGACAGTGAGGTCTAAATTCAAACTCAGAGGACTATAACAGAGAACTAGTAGCGGAATCTATTGTCTACAGGTTTTGCTTTATTTCATTTTCATTCCCTTGTCTGCCCAGCCCTGTTGCTACTACCTGTCTGAGGGTCATCCGGGAGGAAACAAGGGAATGCTATTAACACTTGCAGTGCTTCACACATTTCTAGAGGCAAAGGTGTAGTCTAGTACTTGCAGAGCAGAAGAGAAGCAAATCATTTTGCACACTGTGGTCCCTTAGTAAAATTTAAACAAAGAGAAAATAATTCCCAAGTCTGACTTGACAAAGGCCTTGGGCTGTTCTAGCCCATACAGCCAACAGGAAGGCTAGCCTTTGCAAAATTCAAACATTGTTTCCCTTTGCCTCTTCTTTCCTTGACTTTCAGAGTCCTGCTATAGAATACATAACTATACTGGCTTAGAAGAAGGAAAATCCAGAGAAATCTGGGTAGAAAATTGGTTAGCAAAATTCCTTTTCATTTTTAAATCTGCACCTTTTGTCTTGATCTCTACAATTCACAGGTGATCATCTCATTCTCGACTTTTCTGTCCCTCTTCTTTTCCCTTTCCAAACAAACGGAAAAGAGAAATACTTGAGCTTTGTATTTTGTTGTTGAGTCCACTGTGGTTTGCTGTACCGCATAGCCCAGAGCAAGGTGAGGAAAATGAACTCCTTATTTCTAAGTTTGAAGCCAACAAGGACTAACTGAAAGTAATGTTGCCTTGCAATACCAAATAAAGCTTTCCTGAATTGTTGAGAGCCACGCCGTTCCTCCATTGAACTGAGGTCAGCTGAGACATTTGTCAAATTGCAAGGATAATCTCCTGACAAGAATTGTGTGGGCATTATAGACAGAATCATACAGGCAATGACTTTTTACAGCGTCTTTTGACTGAATCGTGGATTGTAATGAGAGATGACTTGAAAGGAAATGGGTCAGAAACATAGTCAAGAGAGTGACCTCAGAGTTGGAGGCAGTCTCCTTGAGGTTATGTAGTGTTCGAGGCTACCTGGTGACGGAAACACCGACACAAGGTGAGCCGCAGGGTTTTCAGACTTGTTTTCACTTTGGTCTAGATAGGAGAAGATCAGGGGATGGAGTGCTTTCTTCCTCCTCCTCTTGACCCCTCACTCAACTGAAGCCTTACAGTCAAAACCAAGAGTGTGCCAGTTCCTTGGTTGCTTTTCTATCTCTTGCTGCGGTGGAGTGTAATTCCTTTGAAATTTGGCCCTTGGAACTTGAACCTGTTGGAATCATGGGGCCTTTGCACCAAAACCTGAGGATTTGAGGTGATCTGAAATAGGAGGCTCTCAGTAACCTCTCAGTAGTTCTCAGTTGTGTCTCAGTGCAGAGAATCTTGGGACAGAGGTGGCCAGTTCTGAGATCCTTCCAGAGTTCTGCGTTTACTTCTCTGGGAACTCCTCCGAGTTCCTTTGGGGAGATCCAGAACTGTTACTGGGATTCCTCTGGGCTCTAGCATGAGCCTGAGCATTGGGTTAAAACCTTAAGGTGATCTGTAGGTGTGATGCTCACTCTGTATAGATCCAGACCTTAGTGGCAGACTTCTCAATATGTTGTTTAATTTTTAGCTGTCTGCAAGTGCGACCAAATGATTTTTGATTAGACAGTTTTGGGAATGAAAGGAATGGGAAGGAAAAGGGTCACCTTTCTATATTCCACCAAATTCCTCTGGGGAATATGCCCTCTCTCCCTCCTCCCTTATCTTGAAAGCTATAGCAAGAAAGGAGTGGGGAAGGAACATTCAAGTTGTATAAAAGATATGGCTTTTTTAAAAATTCCTTCTACATTGTTTTTCCACCCCTGGAATTGGAACCCAGGGTCTCATGCACACTAGACAAGTACTCCACCACTGAGCCGACTCTTTCTGGGTATGAAAAGGGCTGGATGAGGTGACTTCTCTGGTTCCCTAACAGTTTGTGTTTTTGAGCCCAGCATTTTTCTGTGTTCCTGGGAAGTGGTCAGAGACAGATTGCTCCTGCTACACATCAGTTCTTGTTCTTGAGGAGCTGGGTGTAGGTTTGCAAGGGGTAACCTCAGCTGCTGTGTTTGATCTGGTACCTCCCTGCTAGCATCCTACCCTGAATCAGACTCACTGTCTGTGTGTATTAGTATATCCTAAGACAGGCCCCTACTCTTTAAGAACTTCCTTTCTACCCTTACATTAACCAGGGAGCCCTCCAAGGCAGCCAAATGCTGGAAAGGAGTTGAGCCATGCACAATTTTCCCAGCAGGTACAATTTCTCTCATCTTGGTGAATGACAACAGAGGACTGCCTCTTTCATCTCTCTTTAATTGATTCCCATTTTAAAATAATTAGGAAATATCTATACTCTCAATTGAAGTGGTAAAGTAAAGAAATGATCTGGAGAATTTAAGGAGAATAAAAGACCTTCTAATCTCAAGTATCTATAGATTCTGGCTAAAACTTTGTACGTCTGTAATTAGAGAGTTAATTAAAACAACAGAATCTGATATATGAATTTGAGCTCACAAATCCTTTGACCCAGCCCTCTCTCTGTATGGGGGCAAGAGAAGCTAAAATTTCACCTGGGCAGGGTTTTGTTCTAACACACACAGTTGTCAACAGGTAGCGCCTGTTGATTTCATCACCCTGTTCTGCAGTCCTCCCTCTGTGCAAGCACAGCATTAAAGATGACATCGTGAGTGAACTCTATCATTTTGGGATTCTGGAGCAGAGCTGATTCCCCCCTACCATCTTTTATATTTGAGAGTGACTCGATATTGTTTTCAAGGTGTGCAGCTGTGGTTGAAAGATATTAGCAGGTCAGCTCAGACCTGGAAGAATGTGCTTTTCTCAGTGTTGGTAGGTCTTGTTTTGCTTTTTGTGACTCAGGTTGATTCCTCTAAGGCTTACACTTTTTAAAGCCACTGGCTAGAAGGACCGGCCTCATTTCCTAGGTCTAGGGCCAGCCAGTCTCTCCTGTGCTGAGCTCCCATGAACTGCAGCCAATGCCTTCAGCTGACAAAGCAGGGTTGTCATTGACAAGTGTTTATGTTGCACTTTAGATTTGCAAAGTTCTTTGAGTTATTTCTTACCCCAGTTTTGCAGGTGAAGGAAAGCCCATTGAGATGGTGACTGGTCCAGAGTCATGTGACTGGTTAATGAAGAAGCCCATATTGGACTCAGAGGCTCTGAGTTTCTAGGTCATTTCTTACCCCAGTAATTCATGCAGCTTCTTCAGATTATGTTTTTTGCCCCACACCAACTTCTTATTTTTTTTTCCTCCAAATTTAGCTACTTTTTTAGAGTGAGTTCTGAGGTTGTTATTGGTTGACTAGAAAGCTATAAGTATCTAGGGAAGCTTCGTATCATGTGACCCCAACATGGGACCTGGCTTCAGTCAACCTGAGTTATGGTGTGGTAGGAGCAGGGCGTGGGAGTAGGACTTTTTTGTTATAGTTGGGAGAAAAGATCAATGTTACTTTAGGGCTATTAAAGATTTATGTATGGGAAAGTGAATGATGGATTTAAGCAAAAACTTTGGCTGTTATCTAAAGGTTGCTAAACAAATTCAAGAGACTTTCAACAATTTTGCATCTAAAAGTTGAGAGATTTGGGGCTTCCTTTTAAAACTGCTAGTTGTAACACAGAGGTATTTTCTTGCCAGGGAGGCAGAGATACTTCAGTGAGAATATTGAAAACTTTTACTATAGAAATTCCCACAAGAAATCTTACCATCTGTTTACCCTATTCAATTTTTCTTCACTAAATTAAAAAAAAAATTCTGTATGACCTATGGCACTTTTGACTTAAATCACATCTGTTAAATTCAGATGTTGGTCAGAGATTATTAACTGTTTGCCCGTCTTTACACAGTATTCTCCCAAAATAAAATCACTCCGTTGCCCTCTGCCCTCCAATTGTGAAATCAAGAAGATGAGTGGTTGTGTTTAGAGTATTCAGTAGTCTGCCTTTCTAAACATTCCAAGCAGCCTTTTGGATATGGATAAGTTGTTTATTGTAGAACTAACAATACAGGCGAAACAGGAAGCAGCTCTTTGCTGGGTAGGATGCTCCGAGTCACCCTCCACTCTCCCAGGGAACGCTCTTCAGCTGACTGAAGCAGGGGAGCCGAGCCAATCAGAGGCCGCTTTCCTAGCTCAGTCACCAGTCTGTGGTTAAGGAAGGGTTTTGCTTTTTATGCTCTGTATTGGGAAGGCAGATAAAAATGCCAGGTCTGGACTGCCTCTGGGGATAACCTCACCCTGTGTGATGTGAATGAATAGCATCTTGCCTGGCAAATCCACAGGAATTGATAAGGCAGGCGCAGCTCTTCCAAACAGGCCTTTTCTCTTTTAGCTCTAGCTGTGGTTTCTGCAGCAGTTTTGTTTTTGCCTTAAGAGAGGTGCTCTGGATTATCAGACCTCCATGTATGACAATTTGTACCTGCATGGAATTGAAGACTCGGAGGCTGTAAGTATTTCATAGATAGCTGATTCCCTCTCCCCTCCTCTTCCTCCTCCCACTCCCCCCCCCCGCCCCCCATTTCTTAGGCAACGCAGGGAATATGGAGCTGAAAGCCAACATCATTCGGGTGCTTGCTGGCTGCTTTGTAAATGTTCTCTGTGCAGTTTGCAGTTAACTAAAATTATGTACTGTCAAGCAAAAAGGAAATTAGAGTGATAGCAAAGGCATCTAAGAGTGTGGGCTGTTCGTATTTCTGTTACCTGGTCCACGTTTGATCTCGCAAGGGGTAACTGTTCCTCGTAGACTGCTTTAAACTATGCAGAAAGTGCCTGTGTTTTCCAATAGCAGGGTTCATAGAAAAGACTCATTCATTATATAATACACATTGTTTGTTGAGCTAGCATGAATGGAAGTTACTAAGCTGTAGCTGTATTATTATGTTCTTTCTGGCCAAACAAGCAGTGCAGATCTACTGCTTCTTTGTTAAGGAAATCAGATGCAAGGGTTGTAGTCACACAGCACCCTAGTGCAGAGGCAGTAGGCAGTGTTTCCATACTCTACCCTGGAAGACTGAAGTCGGCTCACGTGTGTTTGGGCTTAATAAACTGGACTGTTTTCTCCTCATAGGTCAGGCTCATGTAATATTAAAATCAGGATGAAATGGTTTTCTGAGTTCCCTAAAACCATACCATGAGATGCTAGCTTTTGAATATAGGGTAAAGCTGATTGCTGAATCTTTTTTCTTCTTACTATTGCTGGTGGTGGTAGTACCTGTTTTTATCAGTTACATAGAAACCTTGCAAGGTAGATTGACTCTGGGTGGTTAATGGGACATTCTGTGGATGGTCTGAATTTTATATGAGTGCAATGCCATGCATGTTGCTACATTCAAAACCAGAATGTGTTATATAAGATTCTCTGACTAAACCACCCAATAAACAGATTATAACACAACAACAACAAAAACCTATGGTATACGTCAATGCAGACGTATGTTTCAAATGAGGTATGCAACCCATGGAAGACAGAAATCCTAGTTCTGATAAGGCATTCCATTTTTCCTTCCTGTCTGTGTTAGCTCTAACTCTAACTCTGTTTCCGCAAAGTCTGTCTGCATGTTGTCCAATGTTCTTGTAAATGATCAGACTGTCAGTTTATTTCAAGGGACTGTAGTCTGAAACATTGGTGGCTGAAATCAAGAAGGTCCACACTTGCAGGTGGGGTGGGGGAATGGCAAAAGCAACTATAGGAGTTCAGGTAACCAGCTTCCCTGACTGGGTTATGCAGGAGGCCTGATTATTTCTTACACCCTGTCTCCACACTCAGTTATGAAACATGTGATGCCTTATTGAATTGTAAGTTTTATTTTTGACCATGGATTTTAAACTTGGACAGTGTATCGCACTGAAGTGGATTGGACTTATTTCAGAAATGCCTGTGTGAACAGCTGTTATGAGCAGAGAGTCGGCTAGGAACTAATGTATCCAGCTCCTTGTTCTCTAGAACTGTATAAATTTCAGACACACTGGTTCAGAGGGGAGCCATTATAAGTATGAAAACATTTGTTTTTCTTTTTGGTCCAGCTTCATAGGGCAGCTGAATTTTCCCGTAGGGTGGGAAGCGCAGATTGCAGTGACTTGAGTCGCGGTGGTAGTTGATGTGGGTAGTGCTAGGTACTGCAGTGCTGTGCTCCTGGTGACTCAGTGGTGGCCAGCAGGCTGAGATCCTGGGGCTGTGCACATCTGCAGAGGTGAGGAAAGTGGGCAGCCTGAGGAGTGGAGGAAAGCATTTGGCCAACCCTCAGTTGAGAGACTTGGTTTATATGGGAAGCTTTCTGGGGTGGGATCGAAACCATGTCTCATAAATCAAGAGGGGAAGACAGAGATGTTCGGAGGGGTGAACTGACTCTGAATGCTCATTTGAGTTTATTTGTTTTTATAAGGAAGAATAATGTGATGTGTTACCCAAGATGGTGTGAACAGAGCTTCAAGCCAATGGAGAAGACTAGGCCTAAATAGCTGAACCGGTGAAGTAACAGATAAAGCCACACCTGGAGTGCCACATCCTCAACAGCCTTTCTCAGTGCCAATGCATTTATGGCTGTAAGTGTGGGGTTTGTCCAGATTGAAGCAAATCACTCGGCGCAGGTCTGGTAGATAGGTGTGGAGAGGCTTCTTTCAGATGGCCACCTGCAGCCCGAGAATATAGAGGCACTAAGAGCTGAGTATGGCACTTCCTTTGGGAGGGGGTTTGGGAAGTCGTCCACATACATCCTACCAACTCTGTGCTGTTGGAAATATCATGGTGGGGTGTGTGAGGGTTAGCATGTGATAAGTGATTATATTCATGTGTCCACACAGTAAGCCTGTAATAAGACAATCTCACCTAGGGACTGAGATTTTATGCTAAGTAAGAATAAAGCATTATTATACACTGTTAGCACCCCCTATTCCCACAGTAGGAGAGAGATTCGGTCTGTGATGTGAGGTTTTCCTTAAGAGTCTGGTCTGCAGGTAGATGTTGCACTCCTAATCCCCTAAATGTTAGCCTTTAACTTCTGTATTTCATACACTGTCTATACAAAGAGAAGAACTGGAAAAATGCTGGAACACACTTGAGTGTGGCATTTTAGATTTCTTAGTCCTGTGGAGCCTTTTTTGGGCAAGTCTGGTAATTTCTGCTCTCAGTTCCACTAGGGTAGCTAAGAATTGGCATGATTCAGAATTATAAGGTAATATAAAAGATCATTCAGTGTCCCACAGCAAGGTTTTCCCTGGGAACAGATTCCATGCAGAGTGGCACATCTTCTGTTACCTTTATATGGATAAGGAGTGTGTGGTCCAGATGAGTCCATACTGAGACCAGGCAGTTCTGATGGGTTGTGCACAGATTATTTTTCTTGACTTTTGCATAAGTGTTGCCCTGTTCTATCTTTACTGTCCCCAGTGTGTCTTAATACAGGCCCTGGAGGCCAAAAGGTTTTTCACTGACTGACTAAGCCACCAATGGACACTATTTTTGTCTGATTCACAGTGGATTCCGGTAGACCTGTTCCTCGGTGTACATGTTTTATAAATGGATTCATTGTGTATTTCTATGTTTGTGGAATCATTCTAGGAATAGATTTCTTTTTTTTTATTCAATAGGTTTATTTTACAAATAACAGGAGGGATGTTTTATAGAGATACATGGGAGAAGCAGAGAAGCAGAAGAGTTACCTGAAACCCACCACCCAGAAATAGTCTCTGTTTACTGTTAACTATTGCTTTCAGACTTAGTGCACAATATGTAAATAGTTTGTTCACAACCGGCTACTGCTGTTGCATCCTAGTCTGTTAAATGTTGTTCTTACATGATAAAATAGTGAGCATAATACTCTAGGATTGGCCTGGGAGGCGACGCATTGCAAAATTTAAAGCTCCTACATGGCTCTTCTGGGATTTTGAGCAACTTGAAGGAAAGAGATTCTTACTTGTAAAGAGAAGCCAGGGTTTGCTGCACATAAAATTAGCGGTTGATTTCTCTGACACAATTGCTTCCCTTCCAAATGTTTAAATACTAAAGTATTTAGAAGGAAAGACCTGATCTATTTCATTGAAAAGGATGATCATATCATATTTCAGGGCATTTACTATAGAGGAAAATATATTCCTTAAATGTTTTCAACCATAGGAAGGAGCCATAATACTGTCAGAAATCTTACAGATGTAAAAGTTAAAAGTGAAGGTAGATTTTACAGATTTTAACATGAATGTAATATCTGAATGCATGTATAAAAGCACATATTTAAATTTTTGTGTACCTGTATACTATAATATGGATAACTACATTTTAATTATTTAAACTATTCATTTTCTATAAACTGTGTTACTATGTGTGTTTGTTTAAATGTCTGTGCACCCACACATGCATGTACACTGTATACTTGGAACATTATACATGTTCATCTGTAGACATGCTTCATATTTTGCTAACTTATGATTAATGCTAAGCTGGAGATTTCTACTGTAGAGCTTTTGGAGAGGGAAAATTAACTGCCTTTGATGTGAAGAAGGAAACCCAAGAGGGTTGAAAGGCAATGTATCCACAAGAGAATGAAGGCTTGCTATTTTCAAAGATATAATAAAGTTATTTTAAATATGAAGACATGTCCTTGTGCTTGTTAGGGAGGAGAATAAACTTCAAACGGAAGGATTGATGTATTCAACGGCCTTCAGAAAAACACTGTAGGGATATTAAGGATTGGATTCCTTTTGGAAACAAGACAAGAAATGTTTTTGGTTTGGTGGATCAGAGCATCCCTTCTGGAGTCTGAAAGTCTTCACGGCCTACATATAGGGAGTGAGGACTGGTCCGTAAAAGAATACAAAGCCTGTTTATGGGCATCACTAACTAGAGAAGTAAACCAAATGCCACTCATGGTTTGTGTAAGGAATTTGACTGAGAAAGTCAATTTGTTTTACTCCACTAAGCTATTTTGGTGTTTAGCTAGGGTCTGTGAAGTAAATGATGAACAGAACTTTTTCTTCAATCAATTCTTAGAAATGATGGTTCTCTAAAATATATATTAAAATGTTTTCCACATGGAATTGTCATGGAACTAAGGGGAGAAACTCCTTAAATATGACCAGAAACCACGAGTTTGGCACTCCAGGGTCATCCATCTTTGTGCTATCTTCTTAATTTTCCACTTCCGAGTGACATAGGGAAGTATGAGGACCAATCCTCACCCTTCCCTGGGTACTTCTGTATATCCTCTTCCTGTGGAGTTCTTGGATTACAAAAGTCAGTCCAGGATTTTAGAATATGGTCCCAAGATTCCGTCTGTACGTCCTCCATGAACATTACATTGTTCCGAGGCACAGGATGCTTTATGGGAAAGTCGTAGTAACTGCACAAAACCATTCTTTTAGGGAGATAGTGAGGAGGATTTCCGTCACCTTAGCTTTTCCCTTGCCGTCAAGTTCAACTTGGACCTTATTTCTGTGTGGACAGTTCTTGTCATTCTGTTTACCATCTCCCTTTAATATCCCTTATATAGATAAACAAAGCCACCTGCAGGGGACTAGAGGACATAACTGCATTGGTTTTCATTTTTCACTCTCTTCTCTCTCTCACTTGTCCTTTCAGATAATCATCAAGTCATGAGCTTGCATACCCACGAAATTCAGTTAGAATTGTTCAAGGAATCTCTTCAGATGTGGGCTCTGTATTCTGCTCTAAATTGGGCTGATTTAGGTGCGTTCAGGCATGGGGCTGTGAAGACAGCAGCTCTCATCTTCCACCCTGAAAGGATACGTGGAGTGAATGCCTGGGTCTCGTGTGGAGGACAGGGCACTAGGAGGCCAGAGCTGAGTGGGCACACTGAAGGAGTTTACAGTTAATATAAAATGATGACAACAGATTGGGAGTTGTAGATTTTTATGCCTTGGACTTTGAACTTTTAAGACTTTGAAGAATATGAGTCCAAGATAAAACTGTGTTGCTATTTTTACAACACTTATTGGTTTGTCAAAAGAAGGTAGCCCAGATAGCACATGAGATAATTTTTGAGATCTAAATAGATACTTGTTCTTGCTCTACATTTATATATTTTTATAACATAAATGTTTTAGTTATAAATATTTTCCTTTCTTAAATGATGAGACACTACAAGCACTTCCTGAATATTGTTTTTTTAATCTGTTATCAGAAATATTGAAGAGCCTTAACATTTAAAACAGAATATTTTGGATTTGCTTTTAGCCTTTGTATTCAATGGAATTGAGATGAGGATATACCCCAATATGAATATTGGTAACTGCCACTTATTGATTTTGTGACTTGATTGCGTAGTTTATGAACAACAGTTTTCTGATTGTATCCTTTTTATTCCAATTATGTCTTAATCTCTTTTTTCTTTTTAGCTTGAGCATCATCTAGGAAAAAGATTGTGACTTTTGGTGTTATTACTCTACCAGAAACTTTGCTGAAATTTTGGTGAATGATAAGGTTGTAGTTAGAAGTGTTTCTCAATCTTTTTAAATCTTCATAGGACTTTAAAAATTTTATCTTCTAGTGAGCATGTCTGTCAGCCAAGAAAATGTCAAGTGCACGTTCATACTTTGTATCATGAAACAATAATGTAGTGTAATGGTGTTGTGATTAACAGTGGAGACTCAATGCCAAATTGTCAAGGCCTGGGTCCTGACTTTCTCCTTCTTACCTGTGGCCCTAAGGACATTTCTTAAACTCTCTGTGCCTTAGTTTCCTCATTTTCAAAATGCCAGTAATGATGCAATCTACATCTTGTGTGGTTTTGGATATTAAGTTAGTTAATATGTGTGAACCCTTAAAATATAGAAAAATATTATATTATACATATAATAATTATGCCTTTATTTTTTTGGAACTAAACAAGACCCTTTCTTTACAGGGTCTTATATTCCCATACAGAACTTTGGTTTATTTTCACATGTTTTTTTTGACAGAGATTTCCAAAAATCTTATTATACCTATTGACAGATAAAAGTGTGTATTTATCTCCTGAACCCTTATGATTAGTTCATTGTATTTTGTTTTGGAAAAGCTGTCAGGAGAGATGATTGAAAGAACACTAGGAGTTGGAGGTTTTGGTCTTTGCTACTTATTAGCAGTGACCTTGGGCAAGTCGCTTAGTCTCTTTAATGCTCATTTTTCCTTCCTACAAAGTGAAAAAGGTTGATTAGAAAATGTCTAAGGTTTTTTCACATCCAAAATTTGATTCCATTTTCTGGTGAGCAACTTCTTCCATTGGGATACAAATGCCACCATATGCCATTTACTTTCTGATATGATCAATGACTGTGTTATTTTGTACATACTAACCAAGGTATCAGCGTCTGGACCTTAAGTCTGGATGTTTGGCCTTTTCAGAATCCTTGAGAGAAACACATGTGTGTGGTGCACTTCTTTGAGAGTGAAGAGGGAACTGTTTTACAAAAGATTTTTAACTCTAGAAGCAAAAACAAAACAAAACAAAAAACCTTTGTCTATTGCTTGTTTTTCTTCCAATACTCACAATGTACCTCCAACCCACAGCGATTTGAGCTGGAAATATGAGTCTCATCTCTAAGAAAAAATC